AGCAATGGGTTTCAGCTTTTGGGGGAAACATTATCATCCACTGAAATGTGAGTTATACCCAACTAAGATGAAACGTACTATCTGACTTCACCTCCAGCCACCATCTAACGAATAATGTCAGTTAATTTTGTATCTTACAAATGAGTGCAACATTAACCACCTAAATTCTTTTCAACCAGCACGTTGAAGGTAGTTGACCACTCAATCAACGGGAAATATTACTTTTCCAGATGGTACCTGCTGCCAAGTTGTAATCTCATTGACTAGTTTTTGTAGATTATGTTATGGAATATACATATGTAACGACAGAGGGCAAGAGTAAGGCAACAAATCATTTATTAAGGAAATCAACGCATATTTATATATGTTTTCATGTACATTACTATGGATATGTAAACAAACAAACACAGTCTCACGACAAATCTTGGGAACGTAAATATTGACGTAAATTACTGTCTACCAATTTGGCTAGTAGACAGCTCTCACCACACATAAGAATAAAACCCAGCAATGAAATATAACGGTGTATTGAGTATTTATTTCGCAGATTACCTAGTCATTGTCAGTACTAGAGAAAGCTCCATTTGAGAATTTCACCAAAGTAACACGTGAAAAAACAATCCAAATTTACTCTGAGGCTATGCTGAATCATCATAAGCTAAATACATATCAGTGGGTAAATGTATAGGTCAAACAACTATTTTTGGCGCGCTGCTTTACAGCTTCTATGGAGAATGAAACACATCAACCTGTAGGACTATGTCCTTGTGCATTAAAACGTCTATCATGCGTTTGAATTATGTCATAACATTACGGTTATATGAAGAATTGGACACGTATTCTAACAAATGACTACTGGGTTACCTTCTTTCTCTACATAATCCCTGTCTTTTCAAGATAGTTTTACTTCCGCTGTCTTCTATGGAAATTAATGATTGCTGTCTCGTGAATGTCACCGATGGCTAAGTTAACGGTTAATAATGATGAGGTGAAACTAGATCCCACTGATTTCAAACAATATTCTGCTGATTATATGTTTGTTTTTCATGGACATAATCTTATGGATAATAAATCTAAGCAAGAATACACAAAACTCGATATACATTGTGGTGAGAGCTGGCTGCTAGCCAAAGTTGGTAGACAGTAATTGACGTCAATGTTTATGTCCCCAATATTGGTGGTGAGAAAATGAGAACAAAGGCTTTGCGTAGGCGGGTACAGTTAGCATATGGATGATCTGACGCAGTCACAAAGAGATACAAGGTTAACTTTCTGTGAGAAACAACCAATCAAAAGACTGCATTTTATACTAACAATAATGTACATTAAAATCTATAAATATGTGTTGATTTTCCTTAATATAAACGATCTGTTGCCTGGCCCTTGTCTTCTGTTGTTACACATGACTCTGGCATCAAAAAAAGTGTTTTCTGAAGTTGTCGTTGTTTAACATGATAAATGTTCTTCTTATGTCGGTAGATCGAATTAACTAGTACAGTTTATGACAGACACATCTGCTATACTCATTTCATGTGAATAGTGACCAATAAGTCTTGCGTAAATGTTGAGTCAAATTTCATATTGGACACTATATGTAAAGTAATTTCATTCGCTATCCACTGAAGAGCTGAACTAATTAATGAATTAAGTTTTTTCCACAATTGCAATCACGTTTTACATAACAGAAATGTAACTGATGGCTATCCACACTTTTAGTCTAAATTAATTCCACACCCATGTCCAGCTGCGATATTAGAATAAGTCAATTTATTTTATCCTATTTGGGATTCCGATTTTGATTGATCACTGACAATATCTGAGTAATAAAATAAAAAACATGGACAGAAGGAATGACATTTTTGTATCTTTAACTGATAATAACACTAAGGTCTATCCGCCAGTCACAACAACACATACGACGACAAAACTGCATCTTTACTGTTATGAAATTATAACATGTCAGCAAATGGCATATACTGCTTTGCAAAATTGATTTCATTTCTAGAAATGCTCTTATGGAAGCTCATTCAGTGTTAAGCATAAAGTATTTTCTCTACATGGTGACACAACGATATCCCATCCCATCTCTAGGGGAAATCCTGATTTCAGAACAACCTTTCTCTCTAGTAGGCATATGAAGTGAGTGTTTGATTTCCTCAGTAATTTAGTTAAAATTAATTAGAATAAAAGTGAGTCTTCGATCTCGTTGGTCATAGTGTTACGTAATTATTGCTGCCTGATTGAACTTTAGGCCTCAAAAGACTGTTTACAACCTAAAAGCAAAAGTTAGTAAGAGCCAGTGGATTTCTACCACCTCATCCGAACTGATTAACACAAGAAGATTGATTCCGGCGAGCTCTGAATATGATGAGGAGCGAAAGCCGCTCAAACGCAAACTAACAAGAAGTCTTCGCAACGACCGTGAACAGTTGTGGGTGACAACAGTGAAAGAGATGGAAAAGGCTTCGGCGATAGGTAACACCGGACAACCATTTCGACTTATCAGGGAAACAGGTGGCAAATGACAAGTGAAACAATCTCTGAGAAAAATGGCACCATAATTAGCTCTCAGGATAGACGACTGGAACGCTGGGAAGAACACTTTGAGGAGCAGTTTAAGTGGCTTACGGCCACACTCAACTTATCCAACTCCCCCCTGAATAGGATAAAAACACAGTTCCTTCGTCCCTAACTGAGGTTGCTAAGGCTGAAACGATGCATAGCAGAGGGACCTGACGGAATGACTCCAGTGTTTAAGTACGGTGGAGACAGTTTACTGTCTGCGTTAACTAAGGTACTAGGCAGACTCTGGGAATCAGAGGAAGTACCGTTGGGCTTGTATAAGTCACTGATCTTCCCGACATACAAGAAGGGAGACAAGTCTTCCTGTGATAATCACAGGATGATTAGGTTTACCAATATGTTATCTGAAGTTCTAGGCTCAATAGTAATGCGTAGACTAAGTGGCGCTCGGGAGAAACAAACAAGGCAGGCTTTAAACAGGAAGAGGGTGTATTGTTCATAACTTCACCCTTCGATGGATTCTGGAACATACGCATACTTATCGGCGTCCAACAATCGTCATATTTCTTAACCTGAAAGCGGCATTTGATTCTGTCGACCGAGAAGTAATATGGCGATGTTTGTCTGTGAAGCAAATGCCGAAAAAATGCATCGCACTGGTTAAGGCACCCTACTCAAACTAATGTAGCCAGGTAAGAGCTTACGGACAGTTGTCATCTGAAGTGGTGACAATTAGTGGTGTCCGATAGAGATGCCCACTATTCCCATTTCTGTTTAATTTCATCATAGATGTACTAATGGACTGCTACCTTGACGTGGTGGTCGGGCTTGAACACCGCTATGACCCAACAAGCTATACTGGCTGGAACTTATGTTCCTGCAGGTTCTACCATGCCAGAAAGGTTGTTTGGATAGCGGTTAGACTAAAAGCAGTTACCCAATCCAATCCTATGACTTCGAATAAAGCACAAAATATCATGCCGGATCGGTCGGGGCCCGGATTAACAAAGACCGCGCTTTCTGCTGCCGTGTCACAGGGCAGAAGTGATAAATACGCTACTGAGACACACCAAATAAAAAACAAAAACAGGCCATGTGTGACCGGCCTCAAGCAGTTGTCCCCTGGGCTCTGCGGTCACGCAACCAACTTCCACGGTGTGGGCAGCCGGGAAGTAACAATCGCCCTCACAATCCGAAGTGCACGCGAAACCTCTCTAATCCTCACTCACCTTTGTCTTCATCTTCATCTCTATTATCTTGCCTTCCTTCTACTAATGCAACTCCTCTACTTAATGGCTCTTCACTTCCTCTTCACTCTGTGTGCACTGAAAACGACGGAAGCCAAAAAGCCACCACCGATAGTTGAATGAACTTAACCTTAAATGACTTCAGTGACTCAGGCATTGATTTTTTACCAGGGAATAATAGTTTGTTTACCTAGAATATGCAGATGATGTGGTCCTCCTTTTTAGGTGGGGACGCTGACAATGCAGAGTCGTCTGAACACCTTAAGTAGCAACCTTTGAATGTGTGGTATGCGATTCGCTCCCGTCAAATGTGAGATCAGGCTACAGGACTGGACTACAATGAATCCTAGCGTAGAGATAGAGAGTGAAGTGGCAGATGGAGCGTGTTAATCACTCCATTTGTTCGGGAAGTTGAATCAGCCAGTGCCGGTGGGTTGATCGCTGACGAATTCTCAGCACGGATACAGAAGGCTCATTTGGCACACGCCATCTCTGGCGTAGGTGTAATATCCGACTGTCGACCAAAGGGCGTGTGTAATGCTCAGCAGTACGCTCCGTCCTCGTTTATGGCTGTGAGAAATGGTTATTGAAAGTGGTAGACATATATCTGTTTATTATCTCTCTTTTGAATCTGTCTCCACTGGCTTCTCTTGCTTTGTGTACTACATGGAGTGTAACAACTTGAACTGCTGCGTGTCTGTGCAAAGTTCTACGTTGAAACTAGTCAGTCAATGAGGCCTCAAAATATTGTTTCCCACCAAACACATATTTCTTCGGATTAATCAATCGACTAAAGATATTGGTTAAATTTTATTATTTCCACTTGCGCATTTTTAACAGCACTTCAATTTATCACTGTTCCTGCTCTCAATAAATCTGACAGAAAATATAATCATAGTGGACGGCAACAAACAATGAAGCGTAGAAACATGAAAAATCAAATAACTGTTCCTGGAATTAGTAAGCACTAGATTTAGATTACGTAGTCTGTTTCTTTTCAATTTATTTCTGAAAGGAGTGAATTATTATTATTATTACTGTCGTCTTATCATCACAAACAGTTATTAGTAAACAAAGAAAGCACATTGTTTTCAATCATGAAGTCAATTTTCATTTCCATCCCTCACCCCACCTCAGAAATGTATATCAAATATGCAAAACAGTAGAGAAATAAGACGAATAAATAAATAAATAATAAATGCTCATAGGGGATCAAAATACAAATCAGGTAATCAGTATGACAACTATAAAACTGAGAAGCCTGACTGAATGAATAAATAAATGCATTCGTTCAAATAATGATGACTAAGTAAGTAAAGAGTTCAATTATATAAAATGCATACTTTTAAATTCATAACAAATAACCACACCACATATCACATTCTGAAGTTATTCAATTAATTTTGCTAAACACTGAACCACTAGTTGAACAGCTTTTTGTCTGGCTATACTTCTTGTAAAATCTGAAGCCTTCACTGATATATAACCATCATTCATTTGTGAATAATTCAGTGTTGTAATATAATTTGTAGGATTTATACCAACTAATAGGATAACTGTGTGTTCGAATTGTCTTAAATCAATTTCTTTTTGTTTCTATACAGTAAGGTAAATAGGAAATAATGATGAGATAATGCATATACAATTGTCAAAAGATGAAATATAGACTGATCAGTATGCATGTTAACAAAGAATGACCCCTACTGATAAAGAAGTGCGTTATACTAAAATACATGAAGAATCAGTAATAGTCACATAATCAGTCAATCCATGTTCAACAGTTACTATCAACAGGACAAATGTGAACGAAGTCATCACTCTCAGTTATCTAGACAGCATCCTTTCAATTACAGACTGCACGAATGAAGATTTTAGTGCTACCCAGAGTCACGAAAGTTAAACAGACGTCCGTCAGTCTGAAACTAGCAGGGAAACCTACTGTACCATACAGAACGAACAAGATCCGAGGTTTTAACACACGTGAAGCCAGTGCCTCCACATAATTCAGACATTTGGTGCGTCACAAAGAGCATTTCAAAAACCGGCTGCAAACTTTCATCGACGGATGCCTTGACTCGATACTGAAGATCAGTCAGCCAAAAAAAAGGATTCCGGTAGCGAACCAACCACGAACCGATTGCTCAACAAATATGCTAAAGGAAATGATGATGAATTGGACATAGGTTAGGGAGACCATTGAGTGACATCATTCGCCAGGCCCTTAGGTGGAACCCGAACGGGAAACAACGAGTTGGGTGTCCAAGGGCGATATAAAGGAGATCGTGTGACGTGAAAATGAAGGCTTACGAGCAATCGTGTAGCCAGATAAACAAAACTACAAAGAACAGAACTAAATGGAGATATGCCTCATGTTCCACTTGGAACCCAAGGGAGTAATAAATAATGAATGCGACAAAGGAAATCCCTGGTGGTACAATGATTAGTCTTTTGTGTGATTAGATGATGCACATCCATTAATCTTTTGGCAATCATCGTGTGATTTTATGAACGTTATATTCTTTTCAGAAGAGAGAGTTGAGATTCTTTATATGAGGCAAATAGACTGACTATTAGCCCGTCGAGTTATTCAAATTTTAAAATAGTAGAACACAGTGCTATTTTTTAATATACAATTTTTTTGTTTTCCCGAATGAATTAAAACGAAATTGTTTTTGCTAACGCTTCGCTAGTAGATCTATGGAAGTAATATTAAACCACAATTTACAAAATCTCATTGATCAATACCAAATTATGAATATAATATATCCAATGCCAAAAATATTAAACTGGGGCCTATAAACAGTTATATTTCTTTTTACCACACCATGGTCGCATAACAGAATCACAGCATATACTGTGACTGAATATCCTTGTCAAACAGCAGGATAAAGCGACGATAAAGTGAACTAAAGTCTGAATTGTTAAATATGGAATTGTAATTGCAAAGCAAGAATTCTTTTGTTTGCTGTTGAGTACCTTGTGTGATTACACAGAGATATCAGTGAATTTGTCAACATCGCGAACTGATAGAGGCTAAAATCTATGGGTCATAAGGTTCAGTCCCAGCGGCTGAATGGTCAACGAGCTCGCTTCTTAACCTGGGTGCTGACTGATGAAGAGCCTCAATCCAGGACGAAACAAAAGTCGCAGTACAGCCTGGTTTTGAACAGTTCTCTAACTAATGTAAATCCGGAATCAAAATTGAAAATTGACGACAGCATCACAAATGAGTCGTAGTTACAACGCGGAAAGGAATCTGTTGAGAATGATGTGTTTCAGAACTCTAGCATTGTTGTAGGTAGACATAGGCATAAAGAAATCACAATTAAATGTGCAATCTTTGTTTCTCGCCTGACCTCAGGTAGTCACATTTAACTTCAACTTTTTCAATCTTTACACTTTTGTATCTTATTGGGAGCAGAACATTGTATTTATTCTTTTATTCATGTTTTGATCACGTGTAGCTTAAAACCTATTTTTACGTTTCCAGTAACTTTACACTCAAACCTGTCAACACCTTCGACATCTTAATATAATATTTAGAATTATAATCCTTATAAGTTCATCCTTGTTACAAGGGTTAATATAATCACGATGGTGACTAGTCGATATCATGAAACAATACGTTTAAAATTGGGAGCTCTTTCTGACAAGCATGTGGTCAGTACTTTGGAAACCACAGTTATCGTAGAATAGTACAAAAAGATAGTATCACAACTGCAGGATGACATACCTTGTGTCCAGTGTAAAATGTAGGCGGATAATCGATGAAATGACAAGGCACTGAAAGACGCTTGCACAGAAGGACCAACTGGTCAACCAAACTAACATTTGTTCTTCCAAGTAATTCTTTTTTCATATTCATTGATAGTGAAGGATAAGAAACATGTTCTTTCAAACAATAGGCAGCGACACGAGCTAAAAGCTGCAGTCTTATATTCGTTTTTATATGTGTACAGCTGAGGGAAACATTAGGGAATGCACTATCAGACAAGCGATCTGATTTCCGATGCCAGTGGTTTCCAGACAGGTCGTTTTCTGAGTTGCTTTGAGAACAGGATCTAAGACTGCACTTTAGCTTTTTAGAGTCTACAGAAACAGAAAAAGTATCTTATCACATAATGTCTCGGTATATCATAAAAAGTTCTCATTTAAAATAGTTATTATCACCTTGAAAACTCCTCAAAGCAAACCAATAATTTGAACAGGATAAATCATATCCATTTCATTTCGCTGTCAGCAACTGCCCACAACCTGGAATGGTGAATTAATTTGCAATTTAAGCAAACAATGAATCCTGAGTCACAAGGTGGCTATCTTCTTATTTTTTGGCAAGAAAACAACATACTGTTTTGAATGGAAAGCGCTCTACTTTTCTGCTAACGGAAAATGGTGTACCTCAAGGTACTGTACTCGCTCCATTCCTTTTTTCTTTTTTTCTGCATGACTCTCCGTATTCCTACAAAGCTAACTTCGTTAAATATGCCGATGATATTACCATTTCTGTCCCAGTAGTTTGTGCGCTGGATTGTTCTTGTATGAATTGGTTCTTATCTGAAGTTAATAAATGGTCTCACCTAAATGGTTTTAAATTGAACCCATCTAAATGTCATACTGTTGATTTTGGTTTCAGATGCCAAAAAGACCTGCGTGGACTGATTCAGTCGCATGATTCCTGTAATATTGACGGCACTGTGATGACAGGGAGTAAAGCGAATATCTCTCATCTCGGTATCACTTTCTCTTCACACCTCTGTTGGTCGTCTCATCTCCTGTTCATTTCTAAGAAAAATTTTCGTTTAAATTATCAGATAAGGAAGTTGAGACTTTCTGGAATAGCTCGACCTCTTATCTTACAATTTATTAATTCATGGATTCAACCCATTTTTTATTGTTCGGCCTTATTCTTCCCTGGACTTCTCAAAAAAGACTACATCATATTACGTAGAACACTGAAGACTGTAAGTAGGGTTAGTAGTGTGCTTTCGACTCAACTAACTGACATTGTTGTTGGTAGGCATTTTAATTCTTGCAAGCAGTTATCTTAAGTAATCCTGCCTGATACTGAACATCCTCTTTGTGATTCGCAACTTTTTCCCTGTATACCTTAGTGTAAAACTAGAAGAAACTTCATAAGAATTTACGCTCATGCAGCAAAGTATAAAAATTCTACCATACCATATTTAGCACGGGTTTGTGTGAAGATTCAGATGTCAGAAAGGAATTTATAAACTTTTAAAATCAGTAATCTGAACTGCAAAGTACAAGCAAAGGTTATCATTACATGTATTATCTATGATATTATATATTTATCGTTCACTATGCTTTCAGCAACATCCTATTTATAGTGGTTTCACTATTAATATTATTTTAAATTTTATGTATGTACATATTTATAAAAGGAGCTAAATTGTTGCAATCAGTGTAAAAACGCTGCAAATTCAATTCTGTATAATTATTATTGTTTGGAATAAAGTTATTATTATTATTATTACTATTTCACTGTATTAGCCTGCTAGATTAACTTTCACAGATAAAGATACATGTGTAAACCTTGGGCAATATTAATTTGCTTATTGGATATAACAAACAGTGAAACAGCATTATTTACCGGATATATTTTTCACTTGACGAACACTATTTATTGTTCATAATCATATCAATTATAACTACACAACTTCAAGACTTTAGTTTCATATTTTTTCAATATTCCTTCCCATCCGTCGTAGGGATAGGACAACTATCCAGATGTCTGGGACAGGTATTGCACGTACTTACAGTTGATTTGACAAATAAATCTTCCGTTATCAGTCTCTCCCCGTCCTGTCATATTAGATTTTAAGACTTTCTTCTTATCCAATCCTATTGTACGGTTGTGTGTAATTGCATGTAGTGCTATAGCTGAGCTATTTTGCAGATTTCTTGTCTGATTAGCGTCAGTTAATCTAGATCGTGCTAAGTTTTTGTGCTCAGCTAATCTGACTGGCCCTGTTCTATTACTCTGACCTATATTCATTATCTGACAATCGCTGCAGGATATTAGATAAACTGAATTACTTTCTCTGATTGGCTCGATAGGATCTTTCAGCCGGGATAATTCGTTTCTAAATGAAACTGTGTATCGCTGATCGACTGAGAAGAGTGTTAGGAAGAAAACTGATTGTAAGTACATAAATTTGCTACACAATATCTCCAATGATTTATTTGTACATCTTTTGCAAACTGGTCGAATATCAGCACATTTGATAGCTTGCTGAGTTCTGCACAGTGTTTCTAACGTTCTTTTCACAGTTCTGTTCTTCGATTGCTTAATTCAGTGTTGGAAACATATTGTTACTTTTCTGAACTCATCTACTGATATACTACTTACGTCTGATTAAAAGTAGCAGTCACCACATAAGTAGTTATATACCACTCACATCAAACAACAGTACTTGCTAGCCAGATCAATGTAATCTAAACAACAGGCAGTCGCTTCCCTTGTTTGGGGACGACCTCATCAGCGGTGTACATGGTTTAACTCAACTAAGAAAACCGAGCCCCAATCAAGGGAAACGGTCGTCCGGTCTTTAAATCCCTTCGATCTGGCCAGCAAACACTACTGGTTGATATGAGTTGTGTACAGAATCGTCACAATCAATCAGCTGTATGTAGTTTTATGCAATTACGCTTGCTTCACTCACCACGATTTATGATATCAAAGGGACCATATAGAGTAATCTGAAAAATTTCGATTTCCACAGCAAACTTTGGTGAAATTCCACCAGGGACTGAGTGAAGTGCAAATTGGGGGTCTGATGTTTCTAAGTGAGTTTGAATACCACTTTAATTCCTGCATTATTAAGAATTCTACGCAAGGTTTCAAAGGTTCTTTCTTTGTATGGAAGCACTAATGATTTTCTAAATTCCCTATATTTGGTGTTGCTGTCCTTCTGCTTACGTTTGTCATGCACATCATCTTTATTATTATTACTTTTATTTTTATAATTTCCTACACATTTTCCGATTAATTTATTGGGTAATTATGAAGTATTAGAGCTTCTCTTATATTACCTTACTTCCTGCCTTAGATTTACCTTGGAACTTGGCCCTATTACATAAAAATTTCACTAATCCTATTTTTACTGACATAGGATGGGGTGAACCCAGAATTTAAATATTCGGTTTGAATGTGTAAGTAAATATCCAGTAAATAACACTGTTTTACCGTGTGATATATCCAATAAACGAACCGATATGAAGTAACTTCAGCAGACCATTTCAACAATTAAATCGACCCAAGAATCAGATAAGAACAATCTCAAAGTGTACTGTTGGTGACAGTGATTGTAAAAATCAACTTAACTCTTAGTAATAACCATAATAAATAAGTGCATTTCTAGACTTTTCTTATGTTCACACATGACCGTATACAATGTCTGCATCACGTCTTTATGTAATATTAAAACAAAAGGCTTAAATCATTCAGTATGTTCACAAATCTCGCCTAATTACTAGTTCTATTATCACAAGTCGAATTGTGCAAGTTGTCTCATTCACACATGTATATTCAGAAACAATACACACTTGTCAACAGATAAGAACATACCTGTCCAATAACCAATGGTTTTATCGAAGACACCAAAATCTTTGTAGCTTTTATTGTGTTCTCTATCAGATGTTGAATTTGGCTGAAATTAGTCAACAAAAAGAGGAAAAAAATATAAACAATCAGAAAAAATCAGAACAGTAAACAAGAAAAGAAACTGAAAAATTACTAGATAAGATGAGAAATGACAAAAAATTACTGTAGGGCCTTGTTATTTTATTTTTGGATATTAAATCGGAATTATATATCATATTGGGGGATGAAAAATATGCCTGATTCAAGGTATATTTTCTGCATATTAAAATCGTTCTCAACGCCACAGATGCATTCACTCTTCGTGATCACCTATTGCGGTGGTGTGATACGGACAATGTGTTCCGATGGAATATTATTCTCATATATTCCCACAGTTAAATAAGGCATTAGCGACAGATATGTCTTCGTTGAAAAGAGTCTCTTCGCTGAATTATTTGTTTTGATTTTCTATATGTTACAATGGGAATTTTCCATTATTTAAAGAATACGATATATCTATTGGAACATTCTGTTTCATGTCGTTTAGTGTAAGCCAAAATCACACGCTCAATGATTGGTTAAAGAATATAAACTGTATGTTTGTAAACAGCTGTTTAATTAATTGAAAATATACCTTGGCTTTCGTGTCTTGCCTTCTGTTGTTACACTATATCCAATTTATTGTTCTATGACACATTTACAAGTATCTGCGGGAGCAGTTACACTGGAAGGATAGAAAGAAGGACATATCTACGATTTTATGAACATGTACCAAAAAGCTTATGTCTTAAGGGAACAAATGCTTTAAACAGCGCCATCGCCAGGCATCTCCTTGACACCATGGGCCATGAGGTGGACGTCGCAAGATCGTACAAAATTATCAATAGGCAAAAGAGCTCAATTCACCTCACGTTTTTTGCTGAAGCCATCTCCATCAAACGCCTGAAACCTGATTTTTGCGTTCAGAAAGAAACAGTAATCAGTATTTCTTTGCCCTGGTAACTGGATATTTTCATCTCTCTTTCATCTGAATACGTAATGTCGAAAGTTTCCATTGTGTATGACCATTATTGTTCGGAATAGTGGTTAATATTATATATTCATTGATTGATTTTTAGTTTAAAAATGAACTCTGTGCAAGTATGTTAAAATTGTTTCTGTAGTTATATTTAATAATGACTTTGGCCTGTAAGCAGATGATGAGAAGCCAACGAAATAAACAATGATGGTACCATTTTATTCTGCAAAAACTGTTGTTCTTGCTTTATTCAAATTTCTGTTCATTATAATTCTTCTGAAACTCTTTTTTCTTTACACATTTGTGTGCCGCATGGATTGTGGCAACTTTCACTTCTTCACTTCTATGAAAAGTCATATGTTGAAGCAGATATATGTTAGCCATTAACATGATAAATTACAATGAGCTCCTAACTTTTATTATTAATTAAAGTAGACGAAATCAAAGTTGTTAAGAAAAATATACACCGATCGATGGTATATCATCAACTGATAAATGTAATAAAGGTCATAAATAATAGCAATATATTAGTTACTACTAACCAATGAAAGACGAGATGATGTTGACGAAACATAATGGTTTTGCATGAAGTTATGCATTTCATTCATTGAAAGATTCATACTTGAATAACAACGAGGATTTTGTTTATTGTATAGTACTTTTGACTTTACACCTTTCCTAATAAAAGGAAATTTTGAAAAAAAGGGTATGTTAATTTTGTGTTTATCAAAATTCACCATAAAGAAAAGCACATAAAATATTGTTCATTAAAGTTATTTGATGGATAGTGACTAAGATTGGGAACCCGGGAAGCACAACATCTAAGTGGCATTTGGAATGATGAGTGTCGGGTTCGAGTTTTAAAGGGAAGACAGCATTAATCATCGGAAATTCCAGGTATATCCAGCTGACAAGTCCCAAGTGGGACGAAATGCGTATCCTGGATTCCACTACTACTATTCAGCATCCACCAAAATAACATCATGTTAACCCTCAGACATTATCGAAGCGTCTGTACTGGGAGCCAACTTGTCAAGAGAGACCAAACACTTCGTCCCAACATCATCAATCAACGGGAAGTACAAAATCAAAACTGAACATATATTGTTCATAATTATGAAAGGTCTTTAGGCTAATGAATGAACCACTTTATTTAAACTTAAAACTATTTTTATTTTATTTATTTTTACTACAGCTTGATGCCACACCGTATTTTCAGTACAAGTATGGAATTTTCAGCATGGATATCGGTAGCCCAAATTTTGCAGGCCGACCATAGATATCGGGTGTGCGTCGGCAGGGGATCGAACCCCGGACCATGTGTATGGTCGGCGAGAGTCCTAACCACTGTGCCACCTACGCACGCAGATGTAATTTATCAGTTAGTCCTTAGCTTATTTTATGATAATATGGCTGAAGCCTCAAGACTTTCCGTTAATCAGTCGTACTCACTAACCTTCAGTCGAGATATGTGGCTCTTAATTGACAAGACATCAAAAATCTGATTAAAAATTTGCAAAGACCTTAAAAAGCTTATTTTCATCCAAACAGTAAATCAGCATGTATCTGTCTTGTTTTAAGTGTTCAGTATGTCGGAAATGAGATACACTGGAAGATAAGCAGAAAATACAATAATCCATAGTCTGCTTCTCTTTTTTGACATGCGACTTTATCTGGCAGGCAGCATCCGTTATCTAGACAGCTACTGAAAAGTAACAATATTAAACAGATGTTTTCTTATTTTTAGTACTCTTCAGTACTTTGCCTTAATTCAGGTTTCTCAAGTAGCTATATTACTACATTTTGCAACTGTTACAATTCAGTGATACACCGTGGTCATCCGTATGTGACTTCACTCACATCCGAATTTTCTGGTCAAACAAATCACAACTTCATCTTGAAGCATTAGACAAGTTTGTGATTTTAAGATTTCAGAGGGTATTTGTTAAATATACCTGATAAAAGTCATATAATATTGTTAGTTCAACTTACAAAAGAACTTTAGCCGTTCTTATGGGTGTCTTGAAATGTTCTTAGAGCTTTCAAATATCAGACGGAAAGTGTAGACTATGATGTTCACTGTTCCCAGCTACTAGTTCGTGTGGTAAGAACTACACCTGGTTAAATTACCATTGAATTTACCAGACACCGTTGTATAGATGCTGTGCAGTGGAATTCTAATAAAACTCTCTCAAAATATTCAAATAGCAATTGTGATCTATTTGGAACTCGTCAGCCGGACGTACCTGCGATTCCCCAGTGAGTGGTGGTGTTCCCACTGAAACTCGAACCCAGCATCTGTAGTCTTAAAAGCCAAGTAGCCTAGGGAGTAATGCCTTCAAACTATAAGTCCTGGGTTTCAGTCTCAGTGGGGACACCCTCAGTCATTCGAGATTGTAAGTACATCTAGGCGACGAGTTTCGAGTAGGACGAATCGTATCCTGGATACCACTGTTAATCACCATCAACCAAATAACATCAAAAAAAGGTACCAGCCGACAGCTGAGAATAATTTGCTGTTCAACCTATCTATATATTCAATATCGTAGGACTACTCTAAACTTGCAGATATCAAAATGAAACTTGCATATGAATTCAATATTTGCATTCACTAATTGTCACCAAAAACGATAATATAATTTAATAAAAGAAGCAAGTCTAGCCACTACTACTGCCCTGGCCGGCCTTCAGTGGAGACTATGAATTCATAAATTTGTATTACTATCTTTCCCAATTTTCCTAATATTCAGTGTATTGTCATGTTCATACTATTGAACTGTAATCTATTGATATTACTGATTCTATGTTATTTAAACATTAATGTTGTTAATACAGATAATGTAGACATTTTAAATAGAGGAAACACCAAAAAGTGCCAAAGAATTTCTAGAAGCCTGGTACTCATATTATAATATAGACCAAATTTACCAGCTAATAAAAAGTAAATCACGTGACAAGAAAGTTTATATTCCAAGTCAGTGAAAATAATCAACAGAGATGTAAATCAACTACCGGTCACGAAGATGTTTGCCAGGAGAAACAATAACATCATTCATAGAGAGCTCAAATGAGTTCATTTTATACTAAAACCGGCGCTGAAGATGTCTAGTAGGACGATAAAGGCTTCGCAATTAAATCAATCAGCTCAGAGAATACAACTAACTCAAAATTAATGCTGTTAATAACACTAATTCATTCGCTATTATGGTGTATATATAACTGTAGAACATGATGAAGTTATCGAAAAGAATATTCTTTGTTTAGTAACCATTCTTTCGAAATGGTTTTAATGGGCATTTTTAATCAATAAAATTACTGCTAAAGGCAACTTATATCGTTATAGAAATTAAATTGAAGAAACTGTCTTTACTTTTGCACGGGATGAGAATTTCGTCTGCCCAATGAATTGCATTTCCCTTCTTCTTCACTGAAGACAAAAGTATCACTGGTACAACTAAAATTCACATGATAATCCTAGAAAAATAAATAAATAATAATAAATGCAGAGCATTGCATATAGATACCAAAAATTAAAGGGAGATTTGTAGTTTCTGAAAGCTGTTTACATTGCAAAACAAAAATCTGGAATAGTAATGAAGACTACAACGATAATATCAACATTTACTTATTGTAATCAAGTAGACTAGATGAATTTTCAGTGTTTTACAAAACCAATTTTGATCATGTCAACATAGTACTTTGAGTCTACTTAAAATATGTTATTCCAAAATTGATTACGAACCGACTTCAGATATAGAACTTCAAACATAAAACTAGGAAGTACTGGACAGCCGTTTTACGTTTAACAAAAAGAAAAGAACATATAAGTCATAGGAGACGGCTCACTGAAGATGAATGTTAATCAGTCAGAGAACATAGTAACATCAGAAGATCTGTTTTCTATAGTTGTCATTATTAGAAACAGGCTATACCTTATTTCTTCCTTTCAAACCCTGAACATCACTTATACTGTTACTCCTAAGTGGATTTCTTATCCTCAACGATCAATATATTTCAATTCTTCCTTTTCAATTTGGTAGAAACAGCTATAAGCGTGTGATAGTACCTAGCCGGTAGAGACTATAAACGGTTGACCATATGAAAGCCTTTTCAGGAGAAAACTACAGGCTTTCTCATCATCAGGTTTATCACGCCAGTAAAAACAATAAAGATTAATGCTGTATAAACCTATCTAGCCTGTAACAGAAAATTGAAAGCAGATATGCGGAATGTGATTTACAATTAGGGGTGCAAAACTTCTGATAAAAGTACCTTGGTGTTTCTTTAAGAATATCAGATCAGTATAATGCATTGACGGACATGTTTCAGTTATCACCAGTCCCTACTAAGCCCACCATAAATATAAATAAAAATGGTGCATAACGTAGTAACTACATATATTAGGGAAGTTCCATAAACAACAGTGTAATGGAAATGGTACACAAGAACTAATATACCTTACCTTGCTGTGAACCGTCTGATTCGGTAGGCTCTCTGATCTACCTCCGTTGCCATTGGTTTCCGTGGGGACAGGATCACCTAATTAAGTTGAAAAAAAATTTGACTTGATTATTTGCTTAATGGTCGCCACATATCCATAACCATTTTTATTCCTCTGCGTTCCCAGTGGAACATAGGGATTCAAACTAAAGTTTTGAAGTTTCGATAGCAGTGGTTTTATTTTTACGGGGTGAGATTTGTAGTCTCACGACTAATCTTCCTTCTTTGCCAGGCTTATCGGCAACTAAGCGAGATTTGGGAGTGCTTACGCTAGGGGTCGAACCCCGGACCACCTGAGTGGCTGGCGAGCACTCTACCTCCGCACCACCGACGTACACACATATAGATAGCGAGACCTCATGTGACCGATTCACTGAAACAGTCATACTGTACTTCTGAAAATCCTATTTTGGATGAGAGCTTTGAAGTTAGAAATTATAGTAAAGACAGCAGACAATTTCATCGTGGGAAGGACTGTACTACAATTTCATTCTTGACTTTTATCGCCTACTATGTGACGACATTAATGAATTTATCACTGCACAACTCAGAGAGGTAGACACTGAAGACAGTTGTTCACTCAAATATTTATGGTTTGGGATTATCACTTCACAAAGACTACGACAGGAAAAACCTGACATAAACAGAAACTGAATATCAACTCTTAGTGCAAATTGACGCATAGCAGGGGTGAATATAATTACCGATGAAAGAACATATATTTGGCTTGTTCAGAAGAATTCCGATTGGATTTGACCCGGTTAGTTCAATCGGTAAAGCATAAGACTTCTAACTTCACGTCGTTAGTTCAGTCGTAGAATACCCGCCAACTACGCACGTGGTCCGGGGTCCGATTTTCGGCTAACGCACTTCGAAACCTAGACTAGTCAGTAAGTAATTTCGGTACGTAGGGAACGTTGGATGTGAGGTCAGCAACCCCATCCCGTAGAAAAACAAACACTACTGTTACTGAAACTTCACAGCTCAAGCCTGATACCTTGAGTTCCACTCAGAACGCAATAGAATAAAATTAGATAATTAATTGCCACATGTGAAAGTCGTACTCATACAGCAGGCGAACGACTGGGTGAAATACTATAAATAACTTTAACAGCTCTGCTCGTGTCGACTTGATGTTCTGCACCCATCACATGTGATAGTATTGAAGTATATATAGCTTCATTCAATACTTTACCAGACCAACATGGATGTTCATCATGTTCACTCTGAATCATAAATCACCGTGCCCATGTCATTTACCTCATGACGATACCCCAATAACCGCCCAAATTCTTATTCAAATCTTTGAGTATTGTAGGGATTTAGAATAATTTCAATATAAAGTTCACCGTGAACCAAAATCAGTTACAAAATCACCGGCAAAAGTTAGAATGGTCAACGGGCTGGTACTGTAAACTGAAGGTCTTGAACCTGATCCCTAGTGAGGCCATGGGCGCGCATTGATGAAGAGTCCCACACACAGACAAAACTGCTATCCAATGCTGCTTGGCTTTAATTTTCCTCTAACTGACATAAGTTAGCGACGAAGTTCACACTAAAAAGTGACTACGAAAACACTTTGAGAATACTAACAGCTTACCGTGAGATGAATTTCTCAAGATATTCTCCACACCATCATTGTCAAGAAACGAAACTTCTGCTGTTCGTAGAGCACTTTTTACCTCGGGTACTTTTTCACTAGATAATCCCAATTTTGTCAATAATGCTTCAGCAGCAAGTCGTTTAGCTAAACGTTTATTATTAGCTGCAGGACCTTGGATACATTCGTTTAAAAATTCAATCTGGTAGTTAAAATAAATATGAATACAATTTTTCAGTGAGAATAAGCAAAAATGAACAAGTGAACAACAATATAATAACAACAAATGATAACACTCATATAAATCTTCGTATCTCAAGAAGGTTTTCTTCGCATTTCTCTACTCTGACTTAGCTTATAGCGTACAATACACTTTAACATTTTCACAGTAAGGTGTGATGTAGGAATGGAAACAAAACTTACATTTTCACACTTGCTTGTTTTATAATTTGAATTAATCACTCCTAGACTGATGTTTATAGTGCGTCGATGGCACAGCGGTAGAATTCTCACCAACCACGCATGTGGTCCGTGGTTCGACCCCTGGCCACTGGACTCACTCCCTTACCTCGCTAAGCCGACGATCAGACTGGTAAAGAGAGAAGATTGGGCATGAGGCTAACCCCATCCCGTAAAAATAAACACAACTGCTACCGAAACTTCAAGCCTATAGATTGCAGCCCTATGTTCCACTGGGAACGTAGATGAATGTAAAAAAGGCTCATGCTCATATATGTAGACACAAAACAACCAAAATTGTGTGCATAAAGATGCTTTCAAAGTACTGGTCGTGTGAGGTTGAACCATGATATAAACGATATCAATATTCTACGCAAAGGATTAGGAGGAAAAGAACAGAAGTCAGTGGATGAAACTGTGAATGTGTGATGCAGAGTATATCAATCGAACGCCTTCCTTGATAAACAATACCCATATGTAAAAAATAAACTTAAAGGGCATAAACGAAAACATGACAATGAAGTCACGTCGTGCAAAAAGGGTGCACTTCGCATGACTATGACAAAAAGTTAACGATCAAAAGAACTCAATGCCAACCTTTGCATTCCAAATGGATGCTTTTGAAGTTTCAGTAGTCATGATTTTGTTTATACGGCTGGAGTTTCTAACCTCACGCTCAATCACCGCTTTGTTCCAGGCTTACTGCCAGCTAGTAAGCTAGGTGAAGTTGAGGAGTACGTCAGCCGGTAATCGAAGCCGGAACACGTGCATGGATGAAGGCCAGAGTTCTACCCCTGAACCATTGATATACGAAACCTTCAGGCAGTACAGATGCATTCGCATTTTTAATCTTCTAACGCACTGTCTGATCTTCTTTTAATTGTTTACTCAGCATATATATATATATATATATATATATATGCGTTAGTTGGCAAGACCTAGTATAGAATTTCATATTGATTTTAATCTTCCGCCAACCTTTTGTTTACGTTTTATAAATGAAAGATCTAAAACAATCCAGAGATGTTTACCGCCTCAGCGTATTTCAGTATGCGCCCTTAACAGAAAAGTCATCAGAGAAGTATGTTAAAGCATAACTTTATTAGAACTCATCATGTCCTGCATATTCAATCTTTTAACCTAACACAGATGTGATGTCTGTGTAATTCAAGTCTATTAAAAAGCGAATAAGGATGTGAATATTCTTGTTCAAACCTCCAGAGAAATGCTGATCTTCTCAACACTACAGGGATGTTATGCAGATGGTTACCAAGAAGCAAAGAAATCTATGTCGAAGACTTCCTACTATTGTTTAATAACATATCAATCACTCAGCTTGGTGATTAAATTGTAAACTTCATTGATGGACTGCAATCGATCGTATCACTATTCCTTACTATTTGGCAACCAACTTCGTCAAGCTTCTTCTTTTGAGTATACCTCACTGATATCTAAATTTCTACTGTCTTCTACACTTAATTCACTAAGTTGTACATAAATCAAGTATGTGAACGGGTTGAATAAAGTCAGCTTATTTATAAGACAACAATAAGATAGTGTGCTAGAAATCTATGGACTGTTTATGTCTGATATGAAACAATGGAATCACATAAATACTACGGATAAGCACAATCAATATGAGTAATAATCAATTAGCTCTGAGAATAAATAAAAGTCATGAAACAACAAATATATGAATACGTCTTGCTGCATACCATCACCACATAGCAGATTTTATTTTGGAGATTCTCTCAAGTACTACATAAGATCCCACTTTGTGATAATGGATAATGACTGATCTACACACAAACTGTTATACTCTGCAATACATAATTACTCTTCGGGTGACCTCAGGACAAACAATTAAAATAATTGGTTACAGGATTCATAAGTGTGTCCCCTTAGAATAAGTCGGTGGTGATTCGCTCTGAGAACAAATCAAACGTCTTGGCAGTGCAAATGCTAACTACAAAAATTTCGCTTTTTTCTCATAACGTAATACATACTACCTGCATTCGAATGCGATACGACAGTTTATTTTCTTCTAAGTTCAGCTACATTGAGTTTGTAGACAAAGGCTTTTTCTGTCGATTTACACTTTTCCACAAATCTTTCTTGAGAGAAAAGTTTGGAAATCAGTTAAAAATGTGAAAGTTCTACCAGTTGGTTGTCTGCCTTAGAATAGACGACTTTGTCTAGAGAATAACCTCGGCTATTTGATCGTTCAGTCTATTACTATAATCAGCTCCCACTTTTCATATTCTAACCTCTACAAACTTGACTGTTGACTGTAGAAGTTACTTAACGTTATTTTTAAATATATTGGAAAATCTAGCGATACTGAAAGCAGTTTTCTTTTTATTTTGTTTACCATTGGTATTTACAGCACCGTTTAAGAACAATCTCAATAATTTGGATACTGAGAATATGATAACCTAGTAAGGGACTTTGCTTTGGTCAGTTCATCATCATACGAACATACCAAAGTAAAACTGTTCATGGGTGCTTAAACTTAACTTTAATTTGTAGGGATTTAATTGGTTTCGAGTTTAGTCACAGATCAATGTCAGTTAGAGAACCACTGAAAATCAGGGAGTATTGAACAGCTATCTCGTCTCAATTCGGAACTCTTTATCAGCACGCACTCATGACTTCATCTAGGATCAAACAGAAGTTAGGATTCATCAGCCATTGGATTGTAACTAAGTGTTTGAATGCTCGACGAGTGTCCCTAGTAACCTGAAGGTCCTGGGTTCAATCCCTGGCGATGAAGTAATGGGTGCGTGCCGCAGAAGAGTAAAACACTAGGACGAAACAGGTCTCCAGTACTCCATGACATCAGTCCGAGATCAAACTTGAAAGAAAACAGTATCGTTCATTTATTTATCTTCTTTTTTAATCATTATTAGTTGTAAGATACTTAGCCATGAAAAATATCAACTGTCAATAAAAAAATAAATAATCTTTCACTTATCTGTTCAACAAACATAGTGAACAAAAAGATTAAATATTAAAAAGGTATACAGAAATGAGATTTTATGAATTCACTGAATCTATCATAGAGCATGCACGATGCACTGTTGTCTCTTGGAGTAATAGAATAGCAAGAAAGGGAAACACCAAGACATCAATTTTCACTAACTAACCTGATAAACAAATGATGATCTCCCAGATACCAGAGAGCCCTGCATTCCACTCTGCAGTTGTTCATTTAACAGTGTATATTTTATTTTATCTAAACGCTTTGAAGCTCTAAAGCACTCCAATCTACACACAGGATGTACCGATTCATCAGTAGCACGATTAAGATTCAACTGTAATTTAGTCTGAAAATAACAACAACCAAAGTAAGAGATAAGAGAAGCCAAAATACGTAGAAAAATGAACTAAGTGAGCATACAAAATTTTTATTGTGAGAACCAGTGGAGTTCAAGATTTTTGATCCGTCCCACTTGAAAGTAGCCAGGTGATTTAAATCCTAGCGCATCAGGTGATAATGTCCTTATTCGGATCTGGATTTAGCACTCCTTCCTTTATTACCATCCAGTAGGTTACATAAGCAGATATTACCCACTGTTATTTTTTGATGCCTATAACCTTCCATCGTTTTCAATAAACAAAGACGATTGATGCATTTCGGCACATCAGTTATCTGAGCAAATGGTTGAATACTGACTGGGTTCTCTTTCAATGCTACTTTAAAAAACGGTTGCATTCACAGAACATTAGGAGTTAAGGAGGATAGACTTCCAAGTGGGGAAATTCAGTTACTCCAAACATATTACGAGTTTGTGCAATGAATTAAGAACAGACTACAGTAAAGCTGAATGTAATATGGCAAAAGTCAATACAGTTTCTGTTGCATTTCCTAAGGTCGACTTGATAGGGGCAAAGTTAAACTTCAAGCACCACTAACTGCCAATCGGCGAATGACCTTCGACGAACCAATCACATGAAAGAGGGACTTTTGGTTATGGAAAACTGCATAAAACTATATTATAGGGTATCTTTTTCTGACATGTGATAAAAACATCTCTCAGTTTAACAATTGAAAAGTTACACCACATCCTGTACATATATTTATCCAAATGACTATAAATGACATCCTTTTGAGATCCATTTATAGCCCTAATCCTGTTTTTTAACCTTCCCTTCTATAGAATTGGTGTGTGTCCCTGTAATAGGATGCACAAAATCATTAGAATGGTTCACTCTGTGATGAATTTATCCAAGGGAAGACAGGAAGTTATAACCTTTCCACTCATCGGTGTGTTTCACCAGTCTAATGATAATAGGTACAAAGGTAGTTAACTTTCTGTCTGCTATTCTCTCGTCGAATCCTTTCTGAGAGAGGCATCATATAAACCAATCACCTAGACATTATTTGCTTGTTCTCAACGTCAGTTGTATTTTTTTCCACAATAAGACAGTTTTGTTCACGTGTACGACGACACCTTCTCCTCCTAATAACAAAGTAATTCTTTCCATTTTCCATGAGGCGATGTCTCTGCAGTGCTGGTACCACTGAACTGATGATATGAAACTATTTTCAGTTTCAGCAGCTGCACCTCTCACAGGCTGTTTTAAAACTCAGTAATTACAAATACCTGGGTTAAGGACAGATGGGATCTGGCAAACAAATGTTCCTACGAAATATTAGAATCATCAATTTACCTTCCCTGACACTAAACCATCTCAAACAAATTACACAATGATGGACATATCCATCAATCGACCTCCTGAAGCTTTTTATACTCATGACACCCCTACATGAACAAATCATTTCCTTCCTAAGCAACCCTACATCCAAGCAATACTGGAAAGCCTTATCCTCACTAAACTGCAAGCGCAACTGCGTTACAGCAGGCACTTGACTCGAATCAAGCGGAACAGAACCTTCAACTCACGTGGGTGAGACTCATTGGACCATTCAAGGTCATTTGCTGATTGGTGGTGCTTAAAGTTTAACTAGGTTTTGATAGTTTCAGATATGACGTAATTATGAATATCCAAGTAATTTTCTTCTACAATTCGCTTATACCTCAACGACAACCTTGACCACTCACCACAAAAACCACCCGAATGCGAAGAGGAAGATGAGCGGATTGTTAAAGGGGGGCTTTTAATGTCCCGGTGGCAACATATGGACTGGTGCAAAACAACTTAGAACATATACATGTATTATCATCTTATCCAATAATTAGATCATTGATAAATCTACAGTTAATGGTCAATAAGATAACAATCTTATAAAAAGTTGCAAAACAAAAACAGAGTTATGGGGAGAAAAGGTAAGCCATATGTCATACGTAAATTTAACAGTTCTTAACAGTTTTCTGACTGTTAATCTGATAAATGCTGGGAAATTAAGACTTTCTAACTGAGGTGCGGAAGGTAACCGAAATCGATTACAGTGTGACACATGTACTAAAGCTTTATATATTTAGGCAAATATTGATAACATGAATATTCTGTTTTATGTAGCTTCTACTCGTTTTACTTAGTATGTCGGCGACCATTATCCTTGTTTGGACACTTATTTGTCTTCGTAGTCAAGTTAGCTAGCAACCCTCGAAATTATCATTATTTATTTAAGGTGCTACACTTGTAGTCTTTTTAAATCACTACAACCAAAATTTAACTCCTTAGTTAAAAAAAATGTACAACTGAATGAGATAGCATACCTTGCCTGACTTAACATTCTTTTTGTGTACACACTGAGATGCAGCATTTGAGTCCCAATTAGATGACTGGACTGTAGAACATTTATTTTCAGTCTGATTTAACTTATTAAGCATTGCTTGGGCAGCGGAATCTTGGGCCTTCTTCGCTGATATCGACAGACTTTCAGTAGACCCCCAACCATCTAACACACATGTACAGGTATATCCACTCGGTTCACAACCAGTTAACTTTTTGACCTATTGGTAAACACGGGGAATGAAATTGTTGAATAAACCATATGCAACAAAAAAGTAGTCGCTAACCTTTTAGTTAAATTACCAAATTTCGATAACCTTTATAAAATATAACCACCAAACTAATCTTGGATTAAAGAATGAGGGATCATCTACGCTTATGTGTTGAGTAACTGATGACTGTCATCTTACTGCTGTTGCTGTTTTTTTTCAAACAACGACCGCATCCTTAGAAATTCTTTGCTTCACAGGATTTGATACTTGACCGTGGACGTTTCGTCATCAAGCTTATTGACAATATAAGCGGTGACTACACTCTCTATAACTAAAGTAATTTAGAAACTTCATCCAATCCCACTTCTATAGTGTGATTAATGGGGTAAAGAATGCATTGAGATGGCAGATTCTTTTCGAAATTACTTACTGATTTTATTAGGATTTATCAATGTTTGTTTAACTTGATTTTTATGCTCCAACATCAAGACTAACTAACAACTACTTTACCCTATGTGCCTCACAGCATAATCACTAACTTGAAATTGATAAATCAAACTGTTCTGCTTAGTTGAGGCTTTAGTGAGATCATTCTACTTACAACATAGGTTCTCTTTGGGTAAGTTTGTGTATTTTGATGATATCCGAATCTCAGTTTTTTGAGAATTCTACGAAAAGTTTTTGATACCTATTCTTTATGTGGAAACATTACAGAAGCTTTGAACTTTCTTAACTAAAATAGTTATCTCTCCCAGTGACACCGGATAACTGTAAATATTATCTCACTATATTTTTATTTTCTTTGTAATCCTAACTGTATTATCAATATCAAGCTGTGCTGTAGTTGCACATTTCGGTCTCGGTTTCACAATTTATTATTATTTTCATATTATCTAATTGCTTTGTGGTAATAGTTATCTTCGCCTCTAACCCTACTAGTATGCACATTCTACCTATACACTTACAGTTGCCTAAATTATATAAACACTCAAATGAATTTATCCTTGTTGTTATATTTATCATTATGATCCCCTAGATTGTTATCCATTAATTCGCACTTTTGATCCTGTATTTTACTAACCACATTAATTTAGATGTCTATGACTAATATTCCACTATGTAAACGTTAAGCCAGATGAGAATTTACCGAAAATACGTATTTACTTAAATCGTGTTCTACATCATATATGGTGAATAAACAGCATTTAAGATAAACCAGAGTGGGACTTAGACATTTTCCGGCAGGTAACGCTTGCTATACTGTTACTTAGACGAAAAGAAATTAGAAATTTCTCGGAATAAAATTTTAAAAAACATCAACTGTCAATAATTGAGCCAGATCCAAATGGAAAGAACAATTATACAATCTATCACAAATATGTCCATTACCTTGAAACGCGGATAAATAAAATGCAAACCGGCAAGAATATGTAATCTCCATGATGGTGACTCCGGATGGATGTACTGACAAATATTTATGATGTTGGAATCATCAACCACTCCTTTCTTCGTTTTCTGTCTTTTGATGAAGGATAACAGAGACCGGCGTATAGCCTAAATTTTTCAACAAGAACAATAGAATTACCATGAAAATTATTTATCTTTAATATTAGAAAAGTATCAGTTAAATTGCTACTTGTGTGTGTCATTTAGATACCTACAACCATAGTCAAAAAGAAATTTGATTACAGTAAAGGACCATTTTATTATATGCACGTATCTGTGGTCACCTAAATGAGAGGAAGTTGCATCCAATTCCGAAGGTATCGGCAAAACATACATAGAAGGCTATGTTTTTAATTAGATCTTTCTCAGGCGTTACTACCGCTGAATTAACAACATCGCAAAGCTAAGAAAAGATAAAACGCTAAGTAAGCCAAGTAGATCAGCAGATGTAGTAATGGGATAGAATATCTTATGATTAATCGTGAAATGGCAGGAGTTAGAGTTCATGGGCCACTGGATTTTAACTCGGTGTCTGAATGGTCAAACAAGCTCGCCTCGAAAACCAAAGGCCGTGGGGTTCGATCCATGGTGGCGTCACGGGTACGTACTGCTTAAGATTCCCAAAGTAGAACAAAACAACTGTCCAGTACTTCATAGTTTTTAATGGTTGTCTAACTGATATCAATCCAGGATCAACCTTGAAATCAGTCAAATCCCTGTAAACCAACAGTGGAATTATGTCTAAATTATTATGTCTAAATGGGGATATTTTCTATAGTGGAATTATTGTCGTAATAAATAACTTATCGGTGAAACAATGCAATTCAGTCAATCGTAATGCTTTTTCAGTAGATAAAAACCAACCGCAATCATAAAATTACTATCAAATAGTAATTTAACTTTACTGAGTCTTAAAACTAACTTGATACCTTGTTTTAAAGTGAGAGGTATACCCACCCACCCACCCACCCACCCACACACACACACACACACACACACACAGTGGAAGTCGATGATGACTAACACTAACCAAACTAATTACTAACACAATGCACTTTCTCAATTAGAAACGAGAGTTTGCAAAGTGTTCAGAAACGATCAAAACAGTTCAACTGGGAAAAAATATATATTTTAATCCACATTTTAGATAGCATATCATCTACTTACATAAATGTCCTGTAAAAATGATGCATTGTCTAACCATGCTACTAGTCAGTAGTTGTTAATGTTCTAATGACATCTTAATTCAAACCTTTTTTATTGAACACATTCACTGAATCAATTACTTGGCTTATAAGCACTTGACCAATTTATAGACTATTCTTGTTGAAATACGCAGAAAAGGATTTCCATATCTTTTTTTAAAAATGACTGAAATCAAGAGTGTATAAGTACTACTACAAGAAGCAAAAATAAACTTGAGATTTTAATTAAGCCAAGGTAAATCTATTCTGATGACTAAGAATAACCGGGTAGACAGTAAGATAAATCGCACAAGATGATGATGAATAGTATTGACTTACTGACAACTGGCAAGTATTTTACTATTATTATTACTTGTGTGTGTGTGTAAAATAGTGATTTTAAGATTAAAATCTGGGACGGGTAACCCACACAAAAGAGTAGGAGAACTAAGAAAAACAAAACAGATAGCTTCATCTACCTGAATGTCACACGATTGACCGATACACAGACATTATTGCAATTATATATATATATATATATATATATATAAACATGGTAGGTGTATTTCAGGTGTCACTGTTGTCTTACATCACAATATTGTTTGTGGTTTAGACAGAGGTGCCAAATATGTTCGGTGTACCTTCCTTGATTACACACATCTGCCTTCAACTTTGTACCTAGATCAGTTTGTTAAACAAGCTTGCTGCGGCACAAACAGGGCGATCGATTCATAAAGGGTTGCATCCTAACTTTCTTGATAAGAAATAGTTTACTCTGTTAATTTGGAAGTCTTCTACTGCTTTACTTACTCTAGTCGATAATCCTCAAGGTGCTGGTACTCCTACTTTTCTATTTGCTTTCTTCTGATAAGACTTGCCTCACTCTGAAGTAGCCAATTTTGTTTTGACTGTTTCTATTGTCAGTTAGCTCTTAATCAGATTGTTCCAAAAAGAACAACTTTTTATCAGAAACTAGTCAGTGGTCCTTTTCAAATGGTTTTAAGCTAAATCCCTCTAAATGTGAGGTTGTTAATTTCACTTTCAGATGCAAGTTCGATTTACATGAACTAGTTCGTTCTAGTGATTACAAATGGTATTGAAGTCGAAATTAAGTCGAATGTTAAATACCTTGGACTGTGTATTTTTTCTGATCTTTTCTGGTGTTTCCATATCATTTAGTTGCTAGAAAGATATTTCTTAACTTTCTACTTACAGAAGTTAAGACAATCTGGTATCACTCAGTTTCTACCTTGTATTCTTGTATTCTATCTATTCTTCTTTACTGCTGCCCCTTAACTTTCCTGGGCTAATTAAGAAAGACTTTATTTCACTACAGAGGGTACTGAAAGCTGTCAATAGGGCGAGTGGGGTGTCGCTAAACCAGCTTGTTAATACTGTTGTAGATAGACACTTGAACTTATTTAAGAAATTAGCAAATATCATCTTGTCGAACTCTGAATATTCTCTATATATACAACTCTCTCCTTGTATAACATCAAGTAGGAAGCATATATAGAAGACTACATACTCGGATAACTAAGTATAAAAGCTCCAACATAAAAAAGTTTGCAGCGAAGCAGTTACGCATCCGAATCGATCAGGACACTGAATCCCTATTTAAGGGGGAAATAACTAAAAGCGTATCTGAGATCGACAGCAAGACTCCTCCTGAGGAAGCCTGACACAATATATGGTTAGCAGTAGACACAGGTGTAGAGGCTGTTAATAACCTAAAACCAAAAGTTAGTAAGAACTAGTGGATTTCTACTACTTCATCTGAACTGATTAACGCAAAAAGACTGATTCTGGTGAGCTCCGAACATGATGAGGAGCGAAAGCTACTCAAACGCAAACTAACAAGAAGTCTTCGGGACAAAAGCGAAAGAGATCGAAAAGACATCAGCAATAAGTAACACCAGAGAGCTATTTAGGCTTATCAGAGAAACAGGTGGCAAACAATCTCTGAGAAAATGGTACCAAAATTAGCTCTCAGGGTAGACGGCAGGAACGCTGGAAAGAACACTTTGAGGAGCAATTTAATTGATATACAGCCACACTCAACTTACCCAGCATCTAACACATCCCTGAATGAGATATAAAACAGGTCCTCCATCCCTAAATAAGGTTAAAAAAGCTGTCTGTAATCTGAAACAGGTCAAAGCAGCGGGACCTGACGTTATGACTCCAGAAATGTTTAAGGACGGTGAAGACAGTTTACTGTCTGTGTTAACTGAGGTCCTAGGAAGCGTCTGGGAATCAGAGGAAGTCCCATTGGGTTGGTGTAAGTCATTGATTATCCCCGCATACAAAAAAGGAGACAAGTCTTCTTGTGATAATCACAGAGGGATTAGTTTGACTAATATGGTATCTAAAGTTCTAGGCTCAATAATCATGCGTAGAGTAAGTTGTGCTCGAGAGAAACAAACACGACAGAACAAGTCAGGCTTTAGAAAAGGAAGAGAGTGTACTCATCATATCTTCACCCTTCGACAGATTCTGGAACATAGGCATATATGCAGGAATCTAGCAATTGTTATATTTTTGACTTGAAAGCGGCATTCGATACCGTCGACTGAGAGTTACTATGGCGATGTTTTTCTGTGAAGGGAATGCCGAAAAAATGCATTGCACTGGTCAAGGCACTCTACTCGCACTCATGCACTCAGACAGGTGAGAGCCTACGGAGAGTTGTCATCTGACAACTGTGATGACAACCAGTGGTGTCCGTCAGGGATGCCCACTGTCCCCATTTCTGTTTAATTTCATCATAGATGTACTAATGGACTTAACCCTAAATGACTTCAGTGACTCAGGCATTGAGTTGTTACCAGGAAATAATAGTCTCGTTGACTTAGAATATGCAGATGATATGGTTCTCCCTTCTGGGTGAAGACGCTGACAAAATGCAGAGTCTTCTGAACACTTTGAGCAGAAGTCCTCGAATGTTCGGCATGCAATTCGCTCCCGTCAAATGTGAAATGAGGCTACAGGACTGACTGGACTACATCGACTTGCTCCTAGCTTAAAGACAGGGAGTGAAGTGGTGGAGTGTGTTTATCACTTCACTTATTCGGGGAGTTGCATCAGCCACTGTCAGCGGGTTGATCGCTGACGAAATTTCAGCACGAATACAGGAGGCTAATTTCGCATTTGCCAGTTTACACCGTCTCTGGCGTAGACGTGATACCCGACTATCGACCGAAGAGCGTGTGTACTGCTCATCAGTCCGCTCCGTCCTCCTTTATGGCTGTGAGACCTTGCCATTGAGAGTGGAAGGTATGAAAAGCCTGGCTAGCTGCCTTTGATCATAGCTACCTGTGTTCTATCTCCTGTGTTAAGCGGTATAATAAGGTGAGCAATGTAGAGGCTAAGCATCGATCGAGTGCTAGGAAAGGAGGGGAAATCAATCGACGAGGTTGTGAAGTTACACAGATTGAGATGGTTAGGCAATGTATTACGCATGCATCCCTAGCTATTGCCTTCCTTGACGGGCAACGTTACCTGACATAGGATCAAGTTGGAAAAGATCTAGCGGTGGTGGTCAGACTAAAACATGACATCAGTTAATGTATTCGAAAACGGCTAGTTTAAGCCACGCAGAAAGGTGTAGGCTTCCTGGTTAGGGTCTTTGAGATGGTAAAAACCAATGGCTGGAGATAATTGGTGATATGGCTAATAATTATTCTCAATGGCATAGACGCATTCACTCTTTGTGATTTATAATATCCAATAAAAATCTACTGTTCCTCCATATAAATATTCTTTTTGCCTTAGACTTTTGTTTATTGATATCTCTTTTGAATCTCTCTTTACTCTCTTCTTTTTCTTTGTGTGTTGCATGGAGTGTGGCAACTTGAACTGCTGCATATCTGTGCAAGGTTTTACATTGAAACCAGCCAGTCAGTCAATACAAACTCCACAATACCTTGTTTGGCACACACATTATGGGATGAGAAAAGTGTATGACATGGCATTACTTACTTACTGCAAAACACTAAGTGACCGGCTCTTTTTATTCCTTCTTTCATTAATATATCGTTATTAATATTTCCACTTAAATTTTAAATTTATATTCATACTCTTATTAACCAGTATTATCAAAGTAGATGCCGTGTTAATTATTTCCCTCTGTACTATATAATGTAAAGAGAAACCTAAATGCAGTATTGTGTTACATGCTGGAAATTCCACATATCGAAAATACTGTTTGGAATAAGGCCATGTATATATATATATAAGTAATTTATTGAACTCACTGCTAGTGCTCCGATACACGCTTCTTGCTCAGCACCTGGTTTAGTGGTTGCATTTCCAACATACTGTCGACCAACAATACCTACCGTTGCAGTGTACATGATAGGCTGATATAAGAGTAGATAAAAACAATAAAACACAGTGACAGGCTTTGAATATAAAAATATCTTAAAGTTGCTATTAACTGTGTAATTATGAAAAGTCAACAGTAGTGTGATCAAATCTCCACAGATAGGGTTTACAGCCTTGCCAATTATCTTGTAGTGAAACGAACATTCGAAGGAGGGACGAGTAGCGAAGTAATCAATAAAAGATCCTTAGAACAGCAGTAAATAACTTTCCCCTTCGTGAAGCACAAAGATGCTGCTTTACTGTATATATGATGATTCCGCTCAACTAAGGAATTTTATTTTGGCTTAAAGCACTCATGAAATAATTATATTATAGATATATAATTTAAAAAACAATACCTAATATAGTCGAGTTGTGAAATGACATTACTATAGATTGATACCAAGAAATCTTCAACACAATTGAGAAACAGTACATCCTGGTTCCCACAAAACTGCCGGAAATTCAGATTTAAGACATATTCACACAGAATGACCGATTCAGTTGACAAAAGGCAGAACAAAATGTTCTAGATACCCATTCACACGGTCAAGACACTTCACTTTTTAGTGAAGCGCTAGTTGCAATGACGAAGATGATACGAGAGAGTTCACTAAGCAAAACCTAAATACAAGGAACAACTTAAACTAAGTGACCTTCCTATTTTCCTGAGGTACGCTTAATCATTACGGCATTTCCAGAATAATCATATTAGTTATTGTAAGCAGTTGAAGGGAAGTGAACCAAATAAATATCAATTTTTACTAAGTTGTTATTCGTTTCAATGAGGAGCTATGGTTTATTGGTCTAAGCGCTCGATTTCTACCTTCTATGTCACTGGTTCGAATCCCACTCCACGCATTGAGGGTTTGGGCAGTCCTGGTGAGAATTATCAACACTCGCACAATAGGTGTGGCTCATTGCCAAGTGCATGAAATTGTAAATCGCTGTTGAGTAATACTGACTTGACTGAACACCTTTCAATGAAATCACTAACCATTCACAAGGACTTAACTATTTTAAGAAATTACAAAATAATGAACTTGTGATATGAAGGAAAGTGATGATTTGAAGTGCTTTATATTTGGATATAACAAAGAATTAAGCACTGTGACTACAGACAGGCTAGAAAAAAAGATACCGGTCAAGTAAAAGGATATAAACAACTCTTACCAGCGCGTTGTCAGCGGAACGCCCCGACTGAATAAATTTCACTTTAGAACCAAGTAAAGCAAGCAGCTGTTTAAGCTGCAATTTGGGTGGATCAGGAGTCGAAGCAGACTCAATGAGAATAATAAAAGGCTTTACCTAAACACAAAACATAAGCTGGTATAAAATACATTCATAGAAAAAAAATACGTTAACAGTCAGTATGAGCTGTTGCTAAATAATACATAATATTTTAGTTCATTACAGTGCAACTACCCGAAAATTCTACATATCAAGTAGTGAAGAAGTATGATATGTAGGCTGTTTATTTAAAAGTGAACTTCGTGGAGCAGTGAGAAACATGAATTGCTTCATACAGTAAGAAATAATTTAAGAAAATTATTAGGACGGACAAGCTTCTTTTTTAGCTGTGAAGTCATGATTTATGCATGAGGTGACATGACAACCTGATTGGATAGATTTTTATTCGTTTATTTATGGCTTAAACTCCTGAGGTTTCGTGAATATGACATACCATGTGTTTTGTGTAATAAAAGTTGTCGATGTTGTTGTTGCCGGTCGTCGTTATCTTTCCCAGTCTTTTATATCTGTCTCAATATCCGACATATTTTCAGATGATCAGCTGGTCACAGTGTTGTGTCTGGAGGTGCATTCTAGTCAAATTAGGCAAAGTCGAGTACCCAGTAACACTCCGTCATAGCGAATATAGAGAAAAATAGTTTTAGAATAACCATAGAAATATAAGTACTCTCATATAGTATATTCAAAATAGCGCTCGACACTTCGTATCCCTTTTAAAAGTAGAAAAAGCACGAAAGCTTCAGTATCACTGTCATTTACTCATATACTGAGCAAAACTTCAAGACATCTCGAGATATGCGGAACGACCTCTCCCATCGCCTCCCCCGACGGGCATTATTAGCTGATATAGGTGCAGGTTGGAAAAGAGTAAGTGGTGGCCAAACAAATACATGGCATCAATCCATGAAATCCTTGACAGTTAAACTGAGTCAGGTAGGGAGATGCAGACTTCCTGGTTGGGGCCCGCCCTCGGAACTCTAAGAATCAATGGCTGGAGACAATAGGTGACATGGCTCAAAATCGTTGTCAATGGCTTACGTAGATGTATTCAGTCTCTGAATTCTTTCATATTCCTTTCTACCATTACTCATTCTGTTTCACTCTTATACTTGTCAAAACTCTATTGATTCGCTCCACTCATCTTCTTGTCTACCTTTGTGTGCTATTTGGAACGTGGCAACTCGAACTGCTGCATTTCGGTGCCAAGTTCTATGTTGAGTCCAGAGAGAGAGAGAGAGACCTAAGGAGTCAAAATGCAAAAACAGTTACTACCACAACAGAACTAATCTCTCTTAATGGACTGAGCACCACCACCTTACAGTGGGCAAACAATTAACGATATTTAGGCTATAGGACAACGCTTTCTAGCTACCAAAGCTGATACACTAAGGGGGTGTAACTCGGTGGAAAACGATTGTCATCTTATCCCAATTCATGAATGGCATATCCAGTGATTCATTTCATTATGTTTTTGTTGTTATTCCCCCAAAAAGATGTCTTATTTTACTTCTGTGATCTTCAAGTTAGTTATTTCCTTTATAATTATCAGCTTTTCGACATTGTTCCGAATTTGTCCATCTGTACAGTTTTTAGTTGCTAAATAGCTGCTTCCAGAAAGCCGGCCTATAGGACGTTATGAATACAACTATTCTGACTGAACGTGTTTCATTGAAGCTTGCCACCTTCAATCTTCACAATTCGATGCGAAATTGGACAATAGGGACTTGTGAGTAAAACACTGCGAAACGTCACTAGTAATGCATGCTTCATCTATATTATACACAGCACTTTATACCTATGCATACCAAATGACTGGAAGAAATTACATTAGATTGCGTGTACCCGAAAATAAGGGATGAAATCTATATCAAGTCTGTGAGAGAACATCTTTACCTATAATCTAACTACGCCAACTAGTGTCATTTATTATGCGAAGCTATAGCTTATATGTTTAGTTACTTAACTGTAGATCAAAAAGTCGCAAGTTAAAACCCCTTTTTCTATTAAGGTCTTACCAGTCAAAGGGTTTTACTTCACAATATACGGTGAGTGTAATTTACAATACAGTATACGAATTTGCACTCAATCTTGAAGTTTCTAGAGGACCAAGTCAAAAACTTTATGAACGAAAACAGGCCTAACGTTTCCCAAGTTAACGCCTCTATATTTAGACTGTGAAAAGAAAAAATCAGTTTTGTCGGTTGAGGTAAATGGTGCTAGAATAAATACCAGTCAGATTTATGAGCAACATTCCGCCCATCTTTAAGAACTACAGTAAGAAGAAATGTTTTTTTAGAAAAAACTCACGCATTTTGGTTTGACACAAGATTTTTCAGTCTTCGGTAACTCTAACCTCAGTCTGGACTCCTCGAACAATTTGCATGATAGAAGAGCATTTTCAGCAGCCCGATGTTTCGCTTCTAAAATACGCTTTCCAATGCCAAAGTACACTTCAGAATCAGGCAAACTGTGATGATGAACGATAAGAGTAACGCGAAACACTTTGTTGTGATAGGCACCGTTTTCTTCACAAGCCCAAGTTAAGTCTATTCCAAAAAAGTTACACCATTTGTTGAGAGTGAACAGTGGTGTTTCAGAACCAAATGGCATCACTCCTCTTGACTGGAGTTATATAAAAATATGATTTATCGGGCCATTTTGCATAAATATTGCCAAATGAAAAAAGTGTTTGATATTTATATTCATGAACATTGAACAGTACTGAATGGGATTGGTTGGATGAATTCTACTGTGAGAATGTAACTTATGAAGCCAAAAAAAACGAAAACAAGTCTGACTCACCATAGTAAAAGCATCAGAAATGTAAAATATATAGATAGTGAACTATGAAAATGTGTCCTTCCCAAGTACTGATTCGGATAGCTATTTTTATTGTTATTGACGGGATATGCAAAAACGCTAACATTTAATTTCAAATAGCGAATTGATATAAGTGGTGAAAAATGAATGGAACAAATTATATTATTAGACTGTGTGATACCCATGTTATCAGTTATCAGTTAGACTCTTAAAATGTGACACAACTGTCTCCACGAATTATTCTGAGTAATATTTAAGGTCCGTACTCACTATTGAGATCAAATTTCATAATTAAGTTCTAATTATAAGCAAAATTGAAGAAAGATTTAGTGAGCTTACTTATTGTTTCCATTGTTTACTATCATGCTACACGTCTTTTAAATTATTTTACTCAGCATCTACAAATAAAGAAATTGCGCTAGAGCTGATCAGCTACAGAGGCGCAAAATCTTGCATTGAAATGCATAAGCTCCGAACGCCGTATTTCACATCAACACAGAAAAAAGCTAATACATTCAGAATGCTTCACAATGAAGAAATATGTGATATTGTTTGAGAGATGCCTGGTAATAAAGTTCTCAATTTGTAGATAATTACAAACGACTTCAGGCCATACCACCAAAGGTTTCCAAACAATGATGTATAATATCTCTAGAACACACCTTCAAAGATGACTTAGACCAGCAGTCTGAGTCATCAAGCTAAGCTGACCAACTTTAGTTGCTTTCCTACTAAATTCAACTTCGGTTACCACAGACCACTGAAGGTAATGCCCAAGTAGATACACCAGGCATTTCAGTTGGTAAAGATTTATAACCTCATCGAACAACTTTTCTTTATTGTCTAACCCTTTTCCTTGACTGTGAATCCATAACGGTAATACAAAGACCTCCTACTTCAGCCTCAGCAAGTAGTTAGTATCATCAGCCCCTTCACAACAAGTGTGCCTTATAGCCCAGTACACAACTTAATTATAACCTATGATCTGATTTCTAATCCCAGTGGTAGGAAGACTCCAGTGAAATGTAATATTGTCATGATAATCAGCTGTATATCTTCCCAGTAGTTTTTTTCCAAAACCATAAAATGTTACATAACCTCGCCTACATTACTAGGTCACTAGTATTCTAGCCGGTCCCAAGCCCGGATAAAGAGGGAGGGTTGGGGCGTGGTGCTAGCAACTCCACCCCCAAAACTTAACCAAATTGCTACGAAAACTTCAACGCACAAATATATTAAAAATTCTAAAAATACAAACAATAACCTTATTTTTCGCTGGAATCGGGGAAGTGAAATGACCCAGGCTGGTGAAAGCCTTCGGGAAGCCAGTCAGCCGATGTGCCTTCTTTCGATGAAAGCAAAAATAAGGATGGGGATGTGGAATATTCGTACAATGTACGAAACTGGAAAGTCTGCTCAGGTAGCCGCAGAAATGAGGAGATATAAAATAGAAGTATTGAGAATCTGCGAGAGCAGATGGAACGGATGTGGAAGGAGCTAACTGCCAACTGGAGAGACAATAATCTACTCCGGTCACCCAGAGGACGATCACGAGCACACCGAGGGAGTAGCCATCATGATGTCACCAACAGCGGCTAAAGCTCTCATGCAGTGGGGACCAATCTCCTCCAGGATAATGACAGCCAGGTTCAACTCAAAAGGAAAAAAGGTTACAATCATTCAATGCTACGCGCCTACAAACGTCTCAGAAAAAGAGAAGAAGGAGGATTTCTACAGTCAACCACAAACAGTAATGGACAACGTCCCAAAGAGCGATATCAAAATCCTGATGGGTGACATTAATGCGAAACTGGGAGGAGACAATACAGGAAGAGAAATCACCATGGGTCGTGAGGCACTCAGTGAAATGAACGAAAATGGTGAACTCTTCTCAGACTTCTGCGCCTTCAATGATTTGGTGATTGGTGGCAGTGTGTTCAAACACAGGGATATACACAAGGCAACATGGATTTCACCAGATGGACACACCAAAAACCAGATAGACTTCATTTCAATCTCAAGGAAGTGGAGACGGAGCCTACTGGACACAAGATCGCGGAGAGGAGCAGATGTGGGTTCAGACCACTATCTAGTACAAGGGACTTTCAAGCTGAAGCTAAAAGCCTCGAGGATAGCTGGCGATAGGACACAATGCAAGTTCAACACGCAAAAACTGAAGGACACAATCACACAGGACATTTTCACTGCAACTGTCAGAGCAAAGCAGGAAACACTACGTGGCACCACTGAGGAATCATCCGTGGAAGACCATTGGAACTCTCTGAAGGTAATTTTCAACGAAACGTGTTCAACGGTTTTAGGAAGAAAGAAGAAACAAGACAAGGAATGGCTCTCAACGGACACCTGAAAGCTAATAGAGGAGAGGGGAATGGCGAAAGAGAAAATGATTCAATTCAAAGATGGACAAGAGAAAGAGACGCTGATCTCAGCTTACACAGCACTGGACAAAGAAGTGAAGAAGAGTGCCAGGAAGGACAAAAGACAATTCTACGACAACCTGGCTACTGAAGCTGAGAAGGCAACAGGCAAAAGGGACCTGAGGACACTATATCAGATAACCAAGTCTCTATCCGGGAAGAGATCAACACAAGTGAAACCTATAAAAGACAGCCAAGGGAACCCAATTACCAAAGAAGAAAGACAGATTAAACAATGAGCGGACCACTTCAAAGGACTCTTGAACCGACCACCACCTACAACCCGTCCAGTAATACCAACAACAGCACGTACACAACTGCAAGTTGACACCAATCCTCCAACGAAAACAGAAGTCATGAATGCAATCAAGCTTCTGAAAGCTGGAAAAGCAGCTGGACCAGATGGAATACCCCCAGAAGCACTGAAAGCGGACCCAGAAACGACAGCAGATATGCTGACTCCATTATTGTAAAAGATCTGGAAAGAGGGAAAGGTGCCTACTGACTGGAAGAAAGGTTATCTCGTGAAACTACCAAAGAAGGGCGACCTGGGACTCTGCAAGAAATGGCGAGGAATCATGCTCCTGTCGACGCCAAGTAAAATCCTGAGTCGCATCATCCTGGAGAGAATCAAGGACGCACTGGATACAGAACTCCGACCAGAACAAGCTGGATTCAGGAAAGGCAAATCATGTTCTGACCAAATTGCAACTCTACGCATCATAATCGAACAAAGTATGGAATGGCAATCAAACCTCTACCTCAACTTTATAGACTTTGAGAAGGCCTTCGACAGCGTTGACCGCGAAGTAATTTGGAAACTACTCAAGTACTACGGCGTACCCCAAATGTTCATCAACCTTATTCAACAACTGTACGACAACGGCACATGTCAAGTGATCCACAACGGAAAACTCGGCGAAGCGTTTGGAGTAAACACAGGAGTCAGACAAGGGTGCTTATTATCATCAGTGATATTCCTAATTGTGGTGGACTGGATTATGCGTCAGATAGTGGGAAACGAGGAGACAGGGATATCCTGGACCGACGTGAAGAACCTAGAAGACCTGGATTTTCGCGCGTGGATGATTTATGTTTGATGTCACACAAAATCGAAGACTTACAAGCGAAAACCGACAAACTGGTCGAAGAAGCAGCAAAGACAGGACTCCAGGTGAACATAGAAAAGACGGAGGTTATGAAAATAACCAACCAACAACAACAACAGCAGCAACATCCAGCGCCAATCACCATCAACGGGAGGGATTTGAAAGAGGTTACTTCTTCCACTTATTTAGGGAGCATTGTCTCAACCACAGGAGGAACGGACGAGGATGTCAAATCGAGAATCGGGAAGGCGAGAAACACATTCATCAACCTGAAACCAATCTGGAAATCTTCGTCACTCAGCATCAACAGCAAAATTCGGATTTTCAATACAAACGTCAAGTCAGTCAGTTCTTCTATACGAATCAGAAACTTGGCGGGTCACAAAGAATATTTCCAACAGCCTGTTGCAGACCTTTATCAACAACTGTCTTCGCTCTATACTGAAGATTAGATGGCCGGAAAGAATCACAAACAAAAAGCTATGGGAACAAACGAAACAGGAACCAATCGCCCAACAAATATGCAGGAGAAAGTGGAGATGGATTGGACACTCGCTGAGGAGGCCGTTGGGTGACATCGCGCGTCAGGCCAACGCTCGAGTGGAACCCGAAAGGGAAGCGGCGAGTGGGACGTCCAAGGGTGACATGGAGGAGATCGTGTGAGGAGGAGATGAAACAGTATGGATTAACATGGATGCAAGTGAAAAGTACAGCACAAGACAGAAGCAAGTGGAGGCGTGCAGTTGAAGCCCTATGTTCCACTAGGAACCCAAGGGAACAATAATAATAATAATAATAAAATGTTACATCGGTCTTAGGCGAAGAAATATAACAAACATTATGCACCAACAATTACGTTTGTTTTACAGCCTGCCAATGGGTAAGAAACCAATGGAAGATTCCTCATACGCGCATGAAATTCGTGGTGTCATTGGATATAGACTCACTATCCACAAAGCATCGATACTTTACGCTGGAATTCAGATCTTCTCTCCATCAGTATGGCATTTAAAGTGCCTTATACCAATAGGCGTCAATGGTATTTAATTCCGACAACAAATTGTGCCATCAATGAGGCAGTAATGGGAAATATTCCTGCAACCAACTTCATCCTTCTGTGTCAAATATATTTATCTCAGCATAAAATTCATAGGTACCCTTTCAGTATAACCCTAACTATTTACGTCAACTTAGGTGCAACTGTCAAAGCAAATCAACTGAATAAACATAGACATTGTTCTGAAATACATGCTCTGGATATGTTCTGAAGTATTTAGGATAAAGATGTGCAATTTTGAACAGAGAAGTTTTTCAATAAGTAGTTGACGCCTTGAATTCTTTCAAGCTGATGAAAATAAACACTAACACCCCAGGAAATTCGCTGGAGCTATCAACATTAGATGTCATGAACTCCACGGATCCAAAAACTGAATTAAGTTCCTCTATGTTTTGGTAACTTGTTTTTTTTATTGGTGATAGTTCTTACCCAATATACACGTTGCCATTTCCCTATTTCGGGGGCATCACCGCTTATTAATATAGTGTTGTTTCGACTCATTCAGTTTAACTCACTACATTTTGTGTAGTAACTCTTTCTAATGACTCACGTAATCGTACATTTCATACATCTGAAGATTCTAGAAACTTCGAAAACCAACCTATATACATAATGAATTTTTTAACTTTACCTATTTCTCTCATGTATACCATTACGATTAAACACTACACCAAGATTATTTATGCTCTTTTCAACGACAGACCAACACTTTAGCTTCTTCAATAAATTCAAATAAATCAAATGCTGCAATGCAACCAGATACCTTGATATTCCACGTTGTTAGAAATTGATAAGCTACTGATGAAGTAAAACAGATTTTACTCATTCTGCTGCAGTTGTCGTTATTATTCTTTTTAAATTCTTAAAGGTTAATTCATGCATAAAAACCTTCATTTTCATTGCTAAATGTGCAAATGACAACGAATTTAGGACTGGACTGAACTGAATTTGTAGTCATTAGGATTTGTCTGCCTATTTATTAACAGGGCTGGCCAATGATTTACGTGTATGACGAAACTTCTTCAAACTACTATACAATAAACTTGAATTCAACAACAACACTATCTTTGAATCCTTTAGGACCCAAACCATCAGTACCTGAAGCCTTAACTCGCCTTCTACTAAACAGCTTTAGGGATCTCGGTTAGAGATGATGAGCTGATGTTTACATCCCATTTCAACTGGAATAATAAGTGATAATACGACAAAATAGTACACAAAAGCTATCGTTTTTCCAAGTCGCAAGTTGGTCGCGATATTTTTCAGCAAGCTACGAAGAGTGTGGGTGGACAAATTAACCACTAAGGATGCGTGTGCTACAAAACCACCTTCACTGTATTTTTCCAACTCTCTAAAGGTTATCATGCCTGAGTCGACGTGTGGTTCTGTATGACTTACAAACTAGCTGTGTATTTTAGTACCTCAGGAATTCCATTGCACGAACTACAGTCCATCGTCTTGTACGTCCCACCCAAAAATAACAACAACTTTAACGCATCGATTTCCGTAGCCTATCTCAAATGAATATATATACAAGTCCACCTTGGAAAGTAATGAAGGGATGATAGGAAAGTATATATGAACGCAAACAGTTTACACTTCTATTCTGAAACTACAAAACATCGAGAAAAGCATGTTTATACGATTTTTAAGGTTTGATTACCGTTGCAATGTTTTCACACTGATAAAGATATCGTCACTGTTGGAGTGACTAGCGAGTTACATCTATTTTACTTAAAACCAGACTGATGTTTATTCCACCATGCGCCCTCTGTTTTCATAAAAAGACTTCCGTGCCAGACAGCGGATATCATAGGTCTAAGTAACCTATTATACCTACAAACACGCTAGAAGACAATGCAGATGGATATCACATGCAACTATGAATTCACGAGTACTCATAGTTGCTCAGTAAAGAGGATCCCTTTCACGCCATTAATTGGATGGAGTTCAAGATAACCTCATACCTTCGTATATCACACACTTCCCCGGATAGAAATTTGGTAGCGAATCAATCCCAAAACTGAGGACAAATTTCTCAGATATGTACAAATCCCCTAACAGCTCACAATAATTCTACAGCATATCCGAACTGTGCACCTATAATACTATTTTATGGACAATAGATACTTTAAAATATTCATTCTCTGTGCCTAAACAGAACCTAGTATGTACTGAAGTCAGGCTGTTAGTGCATAAAAATGGCATCATACGCTTAACTTATACTGATTGTACTAAAAAAAATTTTAGTCAGTATTGAATTAGAGCAGAGAAAGTTGCACTACTTAAGTAGTGCTGTAGTTTGTTTGTTTGTCAGAATTCTGACAATTCCAAATAACCACATAACATATTTGCGCAAATCACATCATTTAGAATTTATACACTATGAAGAATAAGCGAAATTTCAGATTTTCCGAGCATAATTTCAATATTATTGTAAGCCTAGGAGAACTTACTTTTAATTTTCATAACGAATTCTGAATCAGCTGATTGTTGCTCTTATCGTACAAATTCAGTTCATTAACATAGAATTTTTCCATAAATACTAAGTGTAAATTGCCACTTAGGCATAAATTTATCTAAATACAGCTGAAATTCCTAATGCATTTTTGTAACGCACTACTTGATTTTTGTTCCAATATCCGGTGAAGTTTAACTATCACAGCCAAAATCAAAGCGACCTTGCACCTCACATTCACGTTTTCATATTTCAGATTCAGATTTATTGGTTGAGGATAGAAGGCTTGCAGCCTATGTCAATCCTTTTTTAGTAAATTTCTATGGTTGTTCAAACCCTTCTTGAATGAATCAGTTAAGGTTGCAGACACCACTTCTTCTGGGGGTCGGCTCCAAGAGTTTGTGACTTGGTGCGAGAACCAGTACTTAACACCAATATGATTTCTTCTTGGCTTTTGAACTCCCCCGCTATGTCCTCTAAGGTGTTCCGACCTGGTGGGAAGGAAAAGAGAGAACAGGTTAAGTCCCTAGTCATTATTTAAAATTTTAACCATTGTGATTAAATCTCCTCTCTGCCTACGGTATGACAGAGAGAAAAGATTGAAACTGTCTAGTCTTTCCTCTTATGATAAGTTACTCATTCCGAGAATCATACGTGTTGAACCCTTTCTAGAATGTGTGAGTCCCCTTTTAAACAAGGACTGGATACAGTTTTCCAGTCTTGACCTCACCAGAGATGTATATTATGAGGTGAATATATCTCTGATGATTCTAGTAAAGGCTCTGCGAATTTCCCATAAGGATCTGAAACTATGTGCAGCCCTCGTGCGATAGCGTGCTGTAGTTTTAGATGGTGACTAACTATGCCACCCAAATCCAAGTAAGTCTGAACTGATGCGAGTGTTATTCCCTCCAGTTCATGGGAGCTGATGCTTGCTTGTCCGATGAACATGGTTGCATATTTTGCTACATTGATAGGGAGCATCCATTCTCTGGACCATTCCGAAAATTTGTTGAGGTCTTTTTGCAGCGTGAGTGTATTAATGTTGCCCTACAGCTCCCCAAATTTTTAAGTCACGTGCGTATAGGACCATAGGGGAATTAGGGAGCACAGCTAAGTCACTGATATACAAAATAAATAGGGGAGGCCAGAGTACCGTCCCTTGTGGCACTCCGCTACACACTTCTGTCCAGGAGGAGAGTTTCGAGTTGATCCTGACCCTCTGCCTTCTATCTATGAGGAATTCCCCAAGCCATTTTATTAACCTGCCTTTGATACCAAGACTTTCCAACTTCATGAGTAGTCTTTTGTGAGGAACTTTATCGAAGGCCCTGCTGAAGGCTTTGAAGGTGACATCAATGGGTCTTCTGTTGTCCCTTGACTTGACTAGGCTTTCTCTTGCAGTGAGGAGATTTGAAAGGCATGAGAGGTTTCCCCGAAAGCCGTGCTGTCCTCTGGATAACATTTCGTGTTTTTCCAGATATGCCATGATACTTTTCTTGACCATTCTTTCCAGTCTCTTGTTTAAAATGCTGAGACTAATAGGCCTATGATTTGAAGGGCTTTGTCTTGATCCTCTTTTGTGGATGGTGGCTTTAAGGAATCTTTCCAGTCACGTGGCAACATTCCATTTAGGAGAGAGCTTGAATATCGTGATCATTTGGCCGGCTGTGTGAGCTGATGGCTCCTTGAGAAGCCTCGGATGAAGATCATAAGGCCCCATTGATTTCCCTTCATCTAGTTTCATTAGGCAGTTGAGCACGATGTCTTGGTCGACGTCAACGGAATCTATCCCGTGTTCCTCTGATGCAGCCAGAGCTGAGCCTGTGGGGAGTAATGACTCTTGTGTTTAGACTTGGGAGAAGTAGTCTGCAGGTGCTTTTGCTTTTTCTTGATCTCCGATTACTTCATAGCCAATAGTCAGGTTTGGAACACCATTGGATGTTTCATTCCCGGAGTTCATGTACGAGAAAATTTTCTTAGATTGTGCCTTTGCATTTTGAGCCAGATTTGCCTTGAACTTCATCCCTGATTGGCGGATTTCTGCAATAGATTTGTTCCTAGCAGTGTTGTATAATTTCCTGGTCTCAAGTGTAGCAAACAGGTTCCAATATTTGTGTCTGTGTCTGAGAAACTTACGAATCTCTCGGTTTATCTAAGTGGGGTAATGTTTCCAGCCCTTTTGGGACAGACCAAGGGATGTAAGGTTAATTCACTTGGGCGTAAAATTGTTTAAATCGGTTAAATATATATTTTTCCTATCAATGTACGACACACCAGTTGTACAGGCATGGATAAGTATTATTTAAATTACATGAATTTGATTTATAGTGAAATTACATGGTTGCTCTCCTCTCTGACATCAGTTAGTGAGCACATTCTGATAGTTAGTCGTTCAATGGAGCACATAAAGAAATATAGAAATATTGTCTTCGCATTAACAAAAAAACCCAAGTATGTGTCGGATAAATTACAAATATTTGGGAAAAAAATAAAGCTTGAAGTCAATTCCTCCATATAACTTTGTTGTGTGCGGCATCGTATCTTGTTTTATGTTCAAATTGGGTATTAATTTAAAATGGGTGATTAATTTTTATGATTTTGACATCATTTTTTTGCAAGTAATACCAGATGTGAATTCAACTGAATGCAGATTAATATTGGTCAATTTCAAGCAGATTTGTTTTACTGCACTCAAGTCACCCATAGCCCGCCATTTGTCACAGCATGGTTGCTCCGTACGAGTAAGTTGATAAACACGTAGAAAGCTATATGAAAACCAGTTTAGATCGTTGACAGTGCTTGTATAAGATGCTGTACAGCGTCTAGTTATGGTGACAGTGGATTTCATCATGGATGCTGAGCCATTACTAGCCAAACCTTGAGGGATAATATATGAGTTAGTGACTTCAATTGTTTCTCAGCTTCAGTCGGAATGTAGATCAATGCAACTTGTACTACAAAGTAAATACAACAGAAATGTACCAGAGGACAAAGAAAAATTACGTGGATTGCGAAATATTTGTTCGCATTCGTTGTACATTGTAATTTGATGAACAAAAATTTGTTTCTACTATGTCTTTTTATGCATTTATGCTGCTAGTTTATTTATAGTCTTTAGAGAAGTAAGGGTATTTAAGCGCGTTTAGGTGCTGTAGTAGACTAATAGTTGATTCGTTCTAGGAATAAATAGTTTATTTATATAGTCGGTAGGGGGAAATAGTGTGTACAGAGAGCGTTTGAAACTTAAAACTGTATTGCAGTTCCTGACATCTAGGGGCAGATTGTTCCATATTTTAGAATACATGACTGTGAAGAAGTTTTCGCGGAGTGTTGACTTAAAGGCTTTTATTGTCACTGTGCAATTTTTTTGTTACGCAGATCGTAAGAGCCTTCTTGTGCGAATTGTATGTCCTTAATGTCTGAGAATGATATTTTCCGTAGGACCTTATAGAAGAATACTAGGTTTATAATTAGTCGTCTCGTCCAGAGTAGGTCAAGTTGTAGAATCATGCACCGTGAGATGTAGTCTTTCTTACATTCGTAGCCTAGTAGTTTCGAGGTAAAATATCGTTGGATACTTTCAATTCTTAGCTTTTCACGTGTATGAGTGCTGCCAATAATAAATGGACAGTATTCTAGTAGTGGCCTCACACAGGTTTTGTACAGAATGAGCTTTGCTTCATTGTCGTGAAAGTTCCTGGGTATGCATCCTAAGAGCATCCTCGACTTTTGAGTCTGTGATGCCACTTGCTCAGAGAATGTTAGGTTACACGAGTACCTCACACCTAGGTCAACGACACTTTGGAGTTTGGTTAGGTTAGCCGATTGAAGCGTTAATTTCATGTCGACTGAGGGTGCACCGAAGCAGATCCAGCCACATTTTTAAGGTTAAATTGGAGGTTCCATAAAGACGACCAAGCAGTCACTTTATCTAGTTCTTT